GTGCAGCCCCACTCGGGTCAGTCGCCAACGCAATCAATGGCGACTGAAATTCTCCACTCGGATGATGACGACGGAGGCTCCACCGAAGAAATGTCAGGAGCAGGGGACACCGAGGAGGAGGAGGAGGAAATTGTTGGAGCGCCGGCGGCGGCGCTCTCTGAGCAGGTGATTCCGTTGCTGAGGTACTTGGATCGCAAAGTCGATAAATACGCCGACCCACTTCAGCCGGGATCTTACATCGAGTTAGTGCGTAGGCGGACTCGCACTAAAGTCCACACCAGCAAGCTACTAGCTAGAGTGGACCAGGAGTTGAGGGAATTGAAGGAGAAGCATGAATGCTTGTGGGGTCAGTATAAACTCAATCAGAAATTCTACAAGTACTCCGAGAAGGTGAGGGATGGGAAACTTGAAGAGCTCACCAAGGAGCAGGTGAAGGTCACAGAAGCACTAATTTCTGAGCAGGCCCAGAATCGGATTTTGTCAGAGGAGCTCGTGCGACAGACGCGGTTGTTAGAACAGTGTCAGCTCGCACGGCAGGCGGATGAGGAGGTAATCCGCAGGCTACAGTCAGAGTGTGGCGAATTGAGAGCGCAACGTGCTGAGGCCGAATCGCAATTAGTGGTAATTGAAGAGGATCGCAGGAAGGAGGCAGATCGCACAAAGGTGGAGACGGCGAGGCGTGTCGCCCACTGTCTCAAGGGCTACGCCCACTGGGAAGTGGCGGCGCAGGAGAAACTCACACTGCGTGAGTTTGAACTTCGCGCAGCCGGGTTGTTGTCAGGCGACAGCAGGAGTCGGCGGAAGGTAGCAAAGAAGCTCGATGCTTTTCTGTCGAAGGCGCAGGATACCCTGTCCGCCCTCGAAGTGGAGGTGTCCGCGGCGTTGCAGCGATTGGGACAGCGCAGTCGAGCAGAAGACTGGCAGGGTAGGGAGTTAGTGCGCGGCAGTCCGTCGCGCAAGAGACGTAGCACAGGTTCCGCGGAGTATAGTGTAGCGTGGTTCCGTGCAGGCGTGTAGCGTAGTGCAGTGTAGTGCTAGTAGGACTTAGAAGGTATAAAATAGTTCCAGGCGTTTTGCCTGGGGTTCTTTCCCATCAGAAGTGCAGATCAGGAACCCATTTCCTTTGCGTGTTTGTGTCCTTGAGTTCTGTCACCACGCACGAGGAGTTACAACTTAGCGTTCCGCATTTTGTAGCTGAAGGCCTTCGGCCGAATGTTCAGAGCTAGTACATTGGTTAGAGACTTGAGTAGTTCGGAACTGCACCTGCGGGTGACTGCCGATGCTCAGAGCCAGTGACTAGTTAGATACTTGAAGAGTTTCGCCCCTACACCTTCGAGTGTTTCTTTCTGATTGTACTCCTTTGGGATTTTTCCCCTGAATGCCAAAGTGAAGTTTTGCTACTTCGTGTAAGCCTTGGTTGTAAATTCAGGTTACGCTGCAGCAGGTGCCTTGAGGGTAACCCCTGTAGTATTTCTAGGAATGACAAGTGCCTGAGAATTCAAACTCTTCAATAGACTGTTGTTGTGTTACTGGAATGTTTCACAGTGAGTCCTTCAGTGCGGACCTGTGTTCTCTGCGCGTTTTGTGAGTTGAGAGTGTTGTTCACCGCGTATGAGTGACTTCGATCCGAAGTAGGCAGTCCAAACCGGGTTTCCTACGCTAGCAGCAAGCTAGTGGAAGCGTTGTAAAAGCCGGAGTTGGAAGTCACTACCCGCAGCTTCGCTGAGTGTACTCTTGAGAGACTTCCCCCCTGAAATCTTGAGTAGAGGTCCTAACGGATCTCTGGGTTGTGTTTCTGTAGTTTCAGGTGTGTGTGTGTGTGTGTGTACGCTGCACTGTGCGACCTCCGAGTGCGCTCCGAGTGGACACTTGCAGTATTTCTAGGAGTGACAGTCGCCTGAGAATTCAAACTCATCAATAGTCTGTTAAACGTGACACTTTGTACCCTGTGTGTTCCTCTGTCCCTGTGGGTTTGACCTTTCTACCACTATATTGCAGTTTTAGCCTTTAGTGGGTTATTACAATTATATGATTAGTTTTGATTGATTTGACTACAAAATGAAATTTTCATTATTTAAATTAAGTATTAAGTTGATTAAGTGGCAAGTGAAGGTTCTATAAGTTTAAAATTCTTAAATTGCATGTTGTCATCTCAATCTAGAAATTATGAAACTTTTATAAGTTTAAGATTTACCAATGATATGTTATCACATATAGAGAACTATTCAAACCTATCGTGGTCTATCTTTATAAAAGTAAATAAAATAATAATCATCATCTGATACTATGATTACTTTTCAAGTAGTATAATTAGATAGTTAGTTAAGAATCTCTCAAGCGAGTTTGGAGAATTCATTGTCTAAGGACTTGTTTCATCAATATAAATTAAATTACATTATCATTTTGAGTATCAATGTGTGATTGATTAAAGTGATGAGTGAAAATCTTGTGTGAGATGTGTTTGACACACTAGCACATTAGATTTTTTTTATCTTATAGAATCATAATGAGATTTTGCGAAGACATCTGGGTCAAACTTGAGTAAAAGTCAGACTAAGAATCACATTTTCGGTTCCGTTGCCGATATCTTAATCTAGAAGAAGAGTGTTTAAGATTCAGTTTTTTGCTAAAAAAAAGATGAAAATGAAATTACAAATGATGCTAAAGTTGGGTGATTGTATCCATTTTTTGGTTAGTTATAATTAAAATAGAGATTACTCAGGATTCAATAGAGTAGATGATAGTGAGATATTTATACTTTATTTCAATAATTTGTGTGTTTGTTAGATAAAGATTGAATGTGATAATCAATGTATTAGTTAAAAATAACACATCAATAATTTTTGTGATCATTAGGTATATCAATCATGTCATCAATCTATTCGGAGAGAATTAATATTTGGAGAGGCTTAATTCTAAATAGCTATAATTGGAAGAGAATTCTTTGTCAATTTTCTTCTAGGAATTTTTGTAGACTCAATGCATAAGTTAAAAAGTTTGTTTTTCCTCCAACATGTGTTAAGAGTTACATTGTTATGATAAAATTTTGTCAAGATCAACTGCCATCAATGTAGTTTAGAGTTAAAAAATGTAGGCTATCATTCTGATTTTGACTTTTGTCCAAACTATTTAGTGCGACGAGCAAATGTATGCATATCCAAATTTGGGATTGTGATTTCATTAGATTGTCAAGATTGAAATTTCATTAGCACCTTATCGACAGCAATAAGTATTTCTTTCCCCATTACATTCTATGCTGGTTCTTGATGGTGGCAGAATTGAGATTTGTGGAGAAAATTTGTCAACCCGTAAAAGAAATTTTGTAGATCTTATAACACGGTACCATCTTAAGAAGCGTGCCTTGCTGTAATAATGCTTACAAGTGGCGGCGGAAGTTGATGTGTTCAAGTTTCTTATCGGATCTCAGATCGAAGGTACTCCCATAGAGTTTAGACAATCTCATCATACAAGTATTAAGCTTGCTATGCATTTATTCAAATACGTTGTTATTGGCCATGTAAGTGCAGACAGTCTGATAAGGTAAACAAGCTGGAACAAGTTCCAGATGCAATCACTTGGAGACAATTTCAGACTCAAAGTGGTTTTGATTTTCAAATTAACAAGTACAAATGCAGCAAACGACTTAAGTAGTATGCACAAGGTCTAGCTGTTAGTGAACTAATAAATCAACACCACTAAGAAGACGTTTTTGCTCTCAATGAAGAGGCGAAGAGAGGAAATTAAGACATGAATGAATCAGATTTCTTCCCTCGAATGTCAACATGTACCAAGAGATGAACATATTATCCCATACGAGCGCAAGTAGTATTAGGTGATGGAACAGGTGGCATACAAAGAAAAAATGACAGCACTCGCCTTAGAAAACATCTAAAGCACCTATTAAACAGCTTGTTGGGCGTTCAGTTCAAAGACCGAGGTGAGATTAGCAGAGCAACAAGGTTAGCACTGGTGTCCTAAAGGATGATTCTCAATATTGAAGTAGTCGTGGTGACGAATCCCTCCAAAGAGTTGTAGACTAGCTAACGAAGGCTCTTGAGGTGTCCAGCGCCGAAGAATAATGGGCAAAGCCCCTACCAAGCCATCCCCATCTACAAAGATATCGCCCAGAGATGATAGAGAACATGGAGATTCTTATCCTCTTCTAGCGAAGCATTTTGAATCCAAAGTACGTACGGTGTTGGACCATCAGAAAGATGACGACATAAAGGTATTTAAACTGATCGATAGTGCCACACTGACTTTAGACGATGAGGTTGACATGGTAAAAAAGTTGATCGCAGTTGTGTTGTGACTCGAACAGCTAAAAAAGTTCACAAATGGAAGAGGTAAAAATATGAAAGATTAGGGAGTAAGAACGATTGGATGACCTGTTTCGAGGTTCAACTCAGAGAGAACGTCAAAGGGTTGCAGCGGAGATTGAGGGCGGTCAAAAGGGCTTTATGCGGCAAGGTTAAAAGAATAGCAGAGACTTGTGGTTAAAAGTGTTGTTCTACCCGCATTCGAAGTGAAGTAGTTAGGCCACCTAAGGAATCTTGTGAATTCTTTTGGTACAAAGAAGCTCCGGAATCAGATTCACATGATTAACGAATTTCTGAGCTTCACAGATGTGGATGAAATTCAGGAGGATTTGCTCTCTTGTTCAAACACGGCTACTCCCTAAAATGAAAACATAACATACTTATTTTTTTTTTGGTACATTGTACAGTTGTTGGACCTTCATCATGTAACAACAGAGGAACTATTCAGGGATATGTATTGAAATTCAAGGTGGCCAACAAATCGTTTCAATTGAAACGATTTCATCATGGTGAGACTTGCAACAAGACATTCTGAACACTTTACCATCGAAAAGAAATCTTGATAGTTTAACCAAACATTGATCTTCTTCAGAAACATAACTGGGCGATTGACATGATTACATAAATTATAAAAGACTTGTACCAGTGAAAACTAAAAGGACGATTTTGCAAAGGATTATATTCCATGAAGGTCTAAACATATGCTTGTCATTTGTAGAATGACATTCTAAACTCTTGAAAATCCTAACACGTCAAACTCTTAGAACGAATACCTTGATTCATGCACTCCTCGCACACCCATGCATGCCCACCAATTTGTTGTCTCAAGTATTTCACCTGATACAACCTGAAGATTTTGGAATAATTATGTTGAAGCTGAGGCGCAAGAGTTTGCTGAATCCTCAACCATGCTTCTCTCAGGCGCTCGCTTTGCCCACCTTTTCGAATTGCCCTACCATCATCATTACTAATACCATCTAGTTTAACAACATCAGTTTTCAAATCATCCCACTCCGGGATACCGTCGCCTAACCCGAGGGTGACACCTATTCCAGCCTTTATAGCATAATACAGGACCTTGTATGAAATTTCGATAACTCTTGGAATCCACCCGCTATTCTCCTTATCTAAGCGCAACTTTAAACCTTCTTGATCTTTGACGGTGTGACACCCAGTCACAGACTCACACATCAGTCTTAAGCGAACGGTTGTTCCGAGATGCAAAGTTGCACTCATCCTGTAGAAAAAACCAACATCGTCCGTAATGTAAGGTCGCTTGGGCGTTCTGGAATGCTGAGGTGAATCAGAATAATCTATTACCCTGTCAACTTTAGACATGAGGTCACTCAACGTAGACTGAACTTCTTGTTGCAGAGAGAGTATTTGTCCCACCTTCATATCCAATCTCCGCAGAATGCTCTCCACTGATCTCAATTTCTCATCCAAACCATCAACCTTCTTTACTAGCTCATTGATCTTGGACAAAACCATTTGAGTTGAACGATTTCCCACACTTGTGCTAGCACGTCTCAAGCACTTGGATGAAGCTGGATTGCAGTCTTGAGTCTGAGGTAACATCGAGCTGCTAGCCTTGTTCTCACTTTCAGGGTGAGACTGAGCCAAGTCATGGTTCAACGTGATGAGGCCTTTATGTAGTGACTCCAATTGTTGAATGCGCTTTTGTCGGATCTCATTTATAACCGCTTCCAAATCGCTCTCCCACAGCAGATTCGTAGCCCGTTCGCATTTGATGGTCAAAAGCCCTGGAATCGGGGGCCAAGAGTGCTCATAGTGCAGCAACTCTTCCTCCACCGATTGCGACTCATCCAGCGCAATATCTCCAAGTTTGCGACTGATGCTGTCAGAGAACTCTGATTTGAGGTCCTTAATCAGAATGGCTCCTCTGAGATGACTCGGAATCAGCATTTCCACGCAAAGCGTTTGGATCACACCGAGCACTAAAGACACACCGGGACAGCCTTTGGGTGATGCGCAAAATGATATTAACTCCTGGACAACATGCTTCAGGACATATTTGATACCCACCTCCCTTGACTTATGCTCCGAGCATAACATCAAGACATCTACGTAATTGTGGGACTTTTCACTCTGAACGTGTTGCACGTAAATCTGATGGCCATCAAGGAAAAGTAGCAGATAATGTCGAGAGCATGTCACAGTCTCTTTGGGAACATGCATCTCGGATATCAACTTCCGTCTCATGAACATCTACAATGATGGAAAAAATTTTAGATATTGATTGAAACATATTATTAATCAGGACAATCATAATGAAAAAGAAAAATTCTACTATCTAAGACAAAGATTAGATAAGGGTATTTACATCCACATACGTCTTGTTGCATAGCACAGGGTATTTACATCCATGATTCAACCTCACCTGGAAACGTGGGAAAAAAGCAGCAGTCAGTGACATTGTTGTTTGATCTTCACACTGAATCCGAATGCCGGCAAATTGTGGAGTCCGAAACCTAGAATCCCATGCCATAGATCCCGTGTGTGCCCCTGCTTGGTGCTTCTGTTCATCCATGCTTGCATACTCACGGATGAAGGAGGGAATGAAATATTGAGAAGTATCTTCGAGCTTGAAACACAAATCTAAATTGAAAAGAATCTTTTCAATGACCTCTCTGTCAACATTTTGAAGGCGTGGTTGCTTTCCCAGAAACGTTTCTATCAATTGAGCGAAGACACTTTCACTCACAAATCCATCCTTGCTCGTGTATGAGTCAAGTAACATTGTCTTATCAAAAGCCTCAAACTCTTGAGCTTGAAAGTCTTGACCCAGAGCTATCAGCTCACCCAAAAATGCATTGGTGAGCCAATTCGGATCTACAATGAGGTGATCAAGGTTGGGGATATAAATGATGGATCCAACGTCATTTAAATAGGATATGACTGAGGTTAATATACTTGAATGATCAACAGAGTGAACAGAAGTTGATGGAATAAATTGTTTCAAGCTGGGAACACAAAATTCATGAAACTTTTTGGATGGCCAAAGTGGGCAACTTCTAGTGTACTTGGTGTTTGTAACCAGGAGGGAAGAGAGATGAAAACACAAGTCAGGAACCCTTGGAGATTTCTCACTCAACAACTTTTGGAAGATCTCAAAAATACGATTTTTGAGGGGAATCACATGTTTCTTCTTCCGGGCATCTATAAGGAAACACTCTTGACTAGGACAGAGATCCACACACTTTGCAAATCTCTTTCTCAGTTCTTCCACTATAGAGTGAGCCCAAGTCAAAGAGTTGGATCTCATCTTGTCCTTGTGTGAAATTACAACAAGAACTTGTGGAAGATTATGTCCAGTGATTTTAGTGCTGGAAGTGATAAAAATCAACCACTCCTCCAACTCAATCTGGAAACTAGAGTATGGTTTGGGGGAATTAGTTTTCTCGCAGAAGGAGCTATACACGAAAAGAAAAACACAAAAATTTTTGGTTTGAGTGAAGAGTATATTTTGAAGGGTACGAAAAATCCATTGTCCTGCCAAATCCCAAATTGAGATTTGCATTTCGTCATTGTTCTGCAACAACTCCACCTCAATGCCCTTGGTCCTCCATAATTCACGCCATTTGTTTCCAAACCAGCTTTTGCCTTGGATTATCCTCATTAGAGTTTGACGCAGTTGAGTCTTGCCTGCACATTGGATGGATAATCACAATACAAACAACTTGTTTACTTATCATATCTTTACAGATCATTTCATATTATATTATTTACAAATATACTATGGATTAATTGGATTGAAGATACTTACTCATTTCACAAAAAACTTGAAATTGTCAAAAGCAAAATAATTTTAAATGTGAATAAAAGTTGGTAGGAGTTTTTGAAACTCATACATTTGTTACGTTTATTTACCAATATATCTGAATCAGAAAATAAACTTTAATCTTAAATCTAAGAAAAGCAAAAGCTTAGATTGCTAGTTTGCACACTTTGAGAAAATAATAGTTTACCTGCTCTAGGAGAGCCGCATAAGAAGAGTCTACCAGCTTTTGCATCTCCAAATTTTAGCTTCGCTTCTCTAAACTCGGACATGTACACGGCCCGCTCCTGATTCTGCTTCAGGGCCTCTTGAATGAGCCAACTCTTTCCGTCCCGCGCAAACGCGTCCCGCGCGATCCAGGGAGTTGAGAAATCTATCTTCCGGAGAGTCAAGTTCACTTGGAGTAGCCCCATCAGGTCCCTGAACTCCTCTTCTGTTAGTGCTGCCTCTTTGTCTAGTCTTTCCATATGCAAATCCAACGTAGTGACACTTGTGTTACTACGCAAGTTCCAAAGCAGTTGCTTCCATATTCCCTTGAAAATATTTTCGCTCATTCCTGATAACTGGAGAATTTTCAGAACTGAAGTTTCTCCAGTTTTTTCATTCATCGGAAGGATACTGTCTATTCTCTCTAGGTTGCTCCCCGGAGCGGAAGTAATTAGACCAAAACGTTCTATAGATTTGATTTCTCCGCACAGTACCCTGCCTAAAAGGTCGAGTGCTGACATTAATGCATCGTTATCCCGAAGATTGGTTTCAAGATGCAATACGGGGTCCTTGAAATCGGAGCTAGCAGCACAGGCAAGCTGTTCTAATCCTTCAAGTGAAATTCTACACAGTGGATCCCCATAATTCCCATAGTTCACTATATTGATAGTTGTTGTTGTAACATTATCACGTATGGCCTTGCCAAGCACGCGACATTCCTCAGGACGCATCTTGATGTCGGCAAGCGTAACTTTCCTCAATGATCGATTGGAAGTGAAAAGTTCTGGTATACAGTCGCCGATTCCAGACAGGCGCCTCAGTTTAAGACATTCAATGGATCGGTTGCCATCATCTCCGGCCAATGCGTTGAGCAACAAGACCGCCGCTCTCCCCTCCACCTCCTCTAAACGTAATTCTTCCAAAACCGAGCTCCGGATCAGTGCCTGTGACAGGGTCCGAACGGCACTCTCGTCCATGTCGATCATGGGGTCGGACTGGCACCCAAACGAGAAAGTATCTAAATTAGCAGCACTGCTTATCAAGTCGGCAACATGCTTGAGAGCAGTCATGTCCTGCCAGGCGTTCCGTACGTTTAAATGCTTGAGTTTTGATTCAGAATTTTCTCGCAGTCCTGATGCGAGATTTAAGAAACACCTGGCACTTAATCCGCAATCAAGAATTTGCGCAAAGGTTACACTAGAGCTACCCAGAATTCTCCCGAGCTGTAAACACAAGCTTTCCATCTCCGCAAGTGATGTCCACGTCAATCCCCAAAGTGATATCCCTTGTAGGTAGGTGCTAGACCTGTAACCTCTTAAAACCAACTCCCACTCACTAGCGCTCAACCTGGAAATATTTCCGCCACAAAAATCTTCTACGTGCAGATGCTCAAAGGTTTTGCAGCTGCCGATGGCCTCCAGCACTCGAAGGCGCACTTTGCTTCGCCACCCTCTGTTCGTCAAGAGCGATTCCCGCTCCGGGAAGAATTCCTCCAATGGCCGGTCGCTTAAAATGGGAGGTCTTCTTTCCAGATGCCTTATAAGATCCTGGACAGCGGAGGGAAGCTCTGGTTCGTGGTCTGCAGAGTCCATTCCCAGTGTCGCAAGCTCAGCATCGTGACTGTCCATGGACGCACCTGCACCTTCAACTCTTTCCTCTGCTTTCAAAGAGGAAGAACCGTGTCCTCCTGAACATGCACGGGGAAATGTGACCGAGCTTAAAAGAGACCGTCTCCTCGATACGCAAGCCCGGTTCACTTGAAGAAAACTAAACTTTCCGTGGCAGTTTCACACCTCGAGTGCATGTGCCTGCTGGGCATGAGACTTCTAGCGGTGGAAAAGGAGCGACACAGAGTACTCCAAGCTCTGCTGAGACAGAGGATCTAGCGGATTGTGCAAAGTCGAAGCAGGAAGCTTTTCGAACTCAGTGGAGCCTACTAAAAGTTATGTGAATCAAAGTAAGCGGTGAATGCAGGATCAGACCATGGATTCTGGCTCTAAGGGAATTCCTAAAGAATGTGCAAAGGGGACTTCACATCTCTCGATAATGAACCCTATCGCGTGCTAGAACGGAGAGAGGACCGACCTGAGTGTACACGCTCATAGCTCTGCAGCTGAATCTGAAATCTACAAGACTATTTCGTAGCAAAGATGGCGGGATCTGTACGCAAAATATCATGGAATTGATGGAATTTCAGATATTTCAAATATGAAGTACTCTGAGATGAGAAATCTGGATGAAAATTGGAACTGGGAGAATGCGAATCTAGCTGCATCAAGAACCAAGTGAGTACAGACACACGTACAATTGGTAGCGAGTGGGAAAAGCAGGCAGCGTCTTCAATCAGATCTTGTCATTAAATCGGTTGAGCGATAGAGGTAACGACACATGTGATCACAACAAGCGTGCTTTTCCATACTCCGAGTGATTGGCGAATGGTCGTAGAAGGTGAGAGTAGAAATTGGTTTGTTGTGCAAGCGAACAAGATACCTGAGTCAATGCATCAGTGTGATGATACTCACGATGTAGTCACGCTGACAACGGAGATGTCAAAGTTTATCTTCATGGAATCATATTTGTGAAATATGTGATATTTTCGAGCTAGTGGATAACTTAGTGGCACATGCTTGGTCAGCTTGGTTGACAAAACATGCTGAAAGTTTTTTCTTGCTTTCAAGATGGGTAGAGTAGTCTACATGACTCTACATAGCTCTTAGGTTCAGAACAAACCGATCAGCTTTTGGATATTTCACTGCACACAATGTCGAAGAACCGTGTACACACTAAATGAATCCTAGAGGTTCTCCACTGCTGGTATGATGGTTCTTCTAGCTCAACTGTCGAGCATGTGAGCACATGCACAGTTCTAATTCCAGAGTATGGAGATCTTTAGACCTCTAACATTAAATTGAAAGCTAACTTCGTCCGTGCTTAGAGATCTCTTGCTAGTTTATCACGTCCTAGAGTTGCATTGTGGCGAGACAAAGTTGAAATTGTTTTCCTTCCATTCAACCTGCAAAAATTCACTCCCTATTTCCTCGTGTAGTCTATCGCCTGGTGCTCCTAGCGTTTTCATTACACCTTAATTCTAAGAGATCCTTTCTAAGGCTTTATACTTATGCTACGAAGCTTCTATAATCAAGTGGTCATAAACATATTAGAGACTAAAGATTACAGCCTGACATGGAACAAAACGATTGTCCGATCAGGGTTCCAAGATCACATACCCCACTGCATGCAACAAATTGCTAGATAAAGCTTCCATATTCAGTCACATGAGAATGGGTCGTGATCTCCTTCCCGGCAATGTACGAGTTGTATCATGGTGGTACAAGCGAGAAGGTTTTTTTTAATCTTCCTCTTGAGTTTGTGAGAAGGGTGAATTTCTCAGGAACCTTTATTCCTCTGGCTACAATCGGAGTGGGTCCCTCAACCGTCTTGCTTCTTAAATCGCAGAGTATTTGCAGGGACCCAGAGATTCACATACGTCAACATGCAATGCTTCTTACATCTGTCTCCAAAGTTTACGTATTCCTATTAAGTACCCTACATTTTTAATTACCTGGTGTCAGTCTGATTCTTTAATTAATACATCGTTATGATATCGGGCAGCCCTTTAGTCTCATAATGAAGAAGTTGGTGGAACCTTCCATAAAGTTTTTGTTTGACGTAAATTGCTGCTTTTTTCGGCGTGTAAGCAGACGTCATGTCCAATTGCATTTTCTTCATGATAGCACGTGGATTGCATAAGGTACATAAAGTCAACCTTGTGATTTACACGAGTGGACAATATTACAACTGTGGAAAAGATTTACTATTCAGCAGTAGTGGACACATGCATATGGAATCTCACTCACTGTTCACAACAACTCTTGATAACTGTGAGCAGCACTTTCTGAGGTTTGATACGCAAGCTTTCCAGACCTTTTACATGTGGAACAACTTGAGTCGAAAAACTTAATATATGAGAGCTTAATATTAGTCAGAGATTTCATTTAGTTAAGATAAAGAGCAAAGAAATTACATTGTGGATAGGCCCAAGATTATGATTTTGCAGAATGGAACTCTTATCTTTTAGATTATTTTTTCCTTTCAAGAATAATACTAATTAAATCTCTACAGCTTTTCGATAGTAGATCGATTTACATGGCCTCAATGTTCGACGAACCCTTGAAGTATACTTAATTTCGAAGATCCTCATGAAAACTTTTAATATTGTAAAGTAACTTAGTTTTCGCACACCTCCATTTGCTGCAGAGCTTCTCAACGATCGAAGCTAAACGAAGAGACTGTCAATCCTCTATTTCTCGAGTTAGCTGATGGCAGGCTTGTTCCAACCAAATTCTGATAAAGGACGCGATAGAACCTGCATGATACTTGCTAAAGTCAAGATGAATCCTCTCAAGAGGTTACATAATTCGAGCAAGTGAGTTCTATGCATGGCTTCGAACAATACTGATACATTTCAGATAACGAAATGATTCATAACTTCTTATATGTTGATATGTTGCACATTCTAGTTGATAAGACCAACTTACATGTGAGCACATATAATAGACATATTCACTGAAATGATGCAAGTCATATTGCATTTTTTGCACTCGTATGCTGAAAATAAATATGCACAATGAAAAGAATTAAAGCTCGTTGCTCAATTGATAAAAAGTTTGAAAAGGACTCGTATTAGACTACGTCTGTCTTTATCGTTACTGAACTTTTAGCATCTTTTACAGCATGAGAAGATAAGAATTATATCTAATTCAACATATTTTGAAAATATTGACAAGTTTAAATCTGGGTTCTTCATTTTGGATCCACTGTTTTCATTAAAAAAAAATTTACAAATTTAGAATTACATATTTTTTAATAAAATTCTGAGGAAAATGTAATTTTTAAATCATCTAATGTAATCACATGAAATTATAAATTAAAAATTAGAAACTAAAACACATAAAATGATTTTTAATAATCAGATCAATACATTATATGAAGTAGAAAAGTAAAGAGATAAAACGATGAAATTAACAAATTTTCATAGATAGTAAGGGATGCAAGTGACTTCGAGTTGGGGCGGCTACGACCTAGATGTTATTTCTAGAAGTTAACGAGGCTCGGAATTGCTATATTGCTTGGGTCTAAAAATCCTTGTTTTTTTGGATTCCTTGTAAATCAGAGTCTCCACACCGTAGATCTACATATAAGCATTTTCGAGGTTCGGGTGTAAAGATAAAGACTTTTCCGCGCATCTGTGAATCGAGTTCCGTTACACGCTTGTAGGAATGGTGGAATGTAATTGGTGAAAATCCAATGGTTTCAGTTTTAAAACTCAATTTGAAACATAATTGGACCAACTTGGAGATCACGTAACTGTTTAATCTAAAAGAGTGAATTTGGACTTGAAAAAAAAATATTTGAAAAACTTTGATGAATGATTGAGAGAGGAAGCTGTAATTTGTGTTGTTTTGTAATGAGAAGATAATTTTTTTTGAAGGTTTTAAAACTTAATCAAGCAATTCTTTTTAGATTTCATTTGCACCCAATAACGTTGTAATAGCAACACAAAGGAGCACTGTCATTGTATATAAAATTACTTTGAGAATATCAGTTTGGGTCTTGAGCAGTCTCTTGGATTCTTCATGTTAGTTATGGTCACATGTATTCAAGATAGCTTTCTAAAGGCACGAGCGTTGACTATAGTCAACGCTCGTGCTCTTCTTGTGTTCTTTTCGTCAGCCATTTCTTTAACTCACACTGTCCTAAGTTTTTTGTACCTTCTAACTCAAAATATTCTTTTCTTAAAGATCGCTTTCTCTCTACTAAGTTTTTGGGCCTTCTATCTCAAAATATTCTTTTCTAAAAGGTCACTTTCTCTCTACTACTACTATGCAAGTAATATACGTATCAGCGTATGAGACGTCAGCTATTTTAAACATCTCAAACTCGATTTACAAGCCCGAGGTTTACCTAAAGTGTTGACTTATTTTCACTAATAGTTCCACTCAGCAAGTAGAGGATGAAAAATCTTGTTGAAATATTAATTCATTAGAACATGGTGAAAAGAGCAAAATTAAATTCTTGAATAAAACTAGAAGTTGTGCAATGAACCCTTAATGCAAACGGAAAATAATAAATTATTTGATAATTTTCCTCTTTTGAGATTTGAATAGAAATTTCATATTATATAGATAATCGCGTTCACTCTTTGCATTCTTCCGTGGACTATATACAGTTTTTGTATAATCACAGAACTGTTAGATGATAAAACTAAATAAATCATCAATCATGTGCACAGAGATTTAAGAAATTCAAGATCTTTGGATTGACATCTTACTTATAATATGAATGACTAATGTAAAAGGGGAAAAAAAAGTAGCAAACGCTAACTGCTATTTAAATAATCCAAGGTGTACAAGGATTTCATGTATGTGGATTCAATTCTCGGTAAATTTTTTATAAACATCTAGCCTAGATAGTGTTGATATATTCTGTTTAAAAGAGTCCTTAAAATCCTTATTTATTTTTTACTAAAGTTTTTCTCTTGTCAAGATTATATTCAGCAAGATCTTGCAAAATGAATATCATGTTCGTCAATCATTTGAATTACGGTATTCCAATTCACTGCTTGTTAACACAAACATGATTGATTTATGTGTAAACATCTTTATTTATATGAAATCAAAGAATAGACCAGTAAAAATGGAATAAAAATTAATAAATAAACTAACTAATGTCAACAATATGTGTGCTAAATATGTTTTCATTGAATTTGTTAATTGAAAAAAATGTCAATAATCTATGTTTTTATTAGATAATTATTGAATGTACTAATTGAAAACAACAAGTTAACAATCCATATACTTTTTGGGTACTGATTGAGTTTTTTTTATCGTCAAGACTCTTGATGATTGTAAAATTTATGTGCCATGTGATTCATCTTTTATGAGTGAACTAGAGAATCGAGTTCTAACTTTATTTTGGTGTAGCTGTTGGATAATATATATACATATAAAGAATCGTTTTTGGAATCTCTCATATTCAAAGTTTTAACATTATCTTTTGAATGCTATTTTTCATCTCTAGTGTTACAATGAATAGAAAAAATGTATTTTTATAATATATATTATTATTGATGAAACAAGAAAAAGTATGCAACGAGATTTGATTCTTGAAACTGTACAAATATTTTTCATAAAAATAAAAATGTCAAATTAAATTAATTTTTTTATTCATAAAATATTACATAAATGTGATGCAAAATAACGAATCTCTAATTTTTTCAACATTGATTTTTCTTTCGAAAAAATTATCATATTTGACTCTACATTGTGAGTTATTGGA